ATTCCGGAAACATTTCAAAATCTTTGCAAGTAGGAGAGGAGTCTCGCCCTTGCCACTATCTGCATCAAAAAGGTCCTGTTCAGAGTAGTCTAGGACAGCATCAGATAGGGTCTCAATGCTGACGGTCATGGAACAGCTCCTCATTGAGGTTCATCCAGTGAGAGAGCGCAACAACGAGTAGAATAAACTAGCGGTGCACTTAGGGTTTTGAAACCAGAGTACTGACTCGTCTTGTGGCCAAACCTTAACCAAATTCGAACAATGGAGGGCCTGGTGCTCACAAAAGGTAAGCACTTTAAAGGCAAACTCCGGGATTAAACAGGTGCTATCAGCGCTTTGTAGTGATAGCTTAGCTGCGGAACGACCTGAAAGTGGAAAGGAAAGCAAGAGAAATCTTTGGGAACGCTGAAATTAAGGCCTTAACCTTCAATAGGGTCGGATGTGGTACGATGGCGAGAAAGGGCGGTCAAAGAAGACAAAATACGCGAGAGAGCACGTCGTTTGAGAGAGCACGCTGATCTCTACATCAATGCACGCTGATCTCACCACCTCTCGCGGTGGGTGGGAAGCGTTGGAAGGGAGTCGATGGTTGCGGGCCCGTAAGGATTAGCGCCCTAACCGCGCACTTTTTGCGACGAAGCTGGAGTGATCCTATTACGTAAGGACCTTAAAAAGTAAAAGGGATGGTTAGCTTTCCAGATTGCTCAAAGTGGATGTCACGTGGCAAGCCATGTATTAAACAGTCAAGATTTTTCTGGGAATCGAATGATGAGGGCAGACAGGTCCAGAAATTACAAGCCAATCCAATGATTAAATAAGCGAAAAAAAACCTTGTCGACAGTATTCGGTACGACTTCTGGTCACGCTCTGACAACGTGTGCGGAGGTCTTTCTATTTTTATCTCCATAGGCGTTGACTCGCTTTCACTGTTACCTTCAAGATAATCAGGTTGACCGGCTGCTGGGAAGCGATTTCTAGTAGATGAATCAAAGCTCTCACCTGAAGAGTTTACAGAGAATCACGTCAAAAAGGTCTACTGGCATCATTATAACAAATTTTTCACTCACTAAAGTCAGTTGTGAGGGTTCGATGTAGCAGCGCTCCTAGCCAGTACGCCATCAACACAATGCCTACTATCAACGCGATCTAGAACACGATTCCTATATTCCACATGTACAAACTGAGCATGAATATCTAGACCTACTGTAGCCATTAAAGAAAATACATCTATTCTGTCTGGTGACATGTCACGGTATTCCACGTACTTTCCACTGAAAAATGTGAAGAACAGTTTGCGTGGTCATAAGATCAAATGTCGTGTCATAGAGGGTGGTACTCCCATCCAAAAACTGGGCTACAAAACCTGTCTAGCGCCATTGTTGAATACACTTGTTGTAGGACCGCCGAAAAATGAAACTCACTTACGTTGCTACGCTGTTAACATGTATTATCACAGCCATGGTCAGAATTAGAAAAGCAAACAAGTGCAATCTTTCTATTCCACAAATACCGATCCTACTACATAATCGAACTGACTGTGTGTGTGTGTGTGTGGTGTGTGTGTGGTGTGTGTGTGTGGTGTGTGTGTGTGTGTGTGGTGTGTGTGTGTGTGTGTGTGTGTGTGTGTGTGTGTGTGTGTGGTGTGTGTGTGTGGTGTGTATGTGACGTATAAATTCGTAAACCCGCGTCACAACAAAGATAGCGCAATGATTCTTACATACGTTATAGGGGGGTGTGAATGGAGAGACAAGTGGTAATCGTCCGATCCTGGAACTGATACGCCCCCCCCCGACGGATCTCAGCGATCCGAGAGCGGCAGAACGGCGTATCCGCAATTCTCGCTTCTTCTTTTCTCAACCCACCGTCCCCGCCGCAGATCGTCACGTCCCCCCCCCGTCCCACGCCCCCAGGGGGACCTTCCTTTCCTGCGCAAGCTTTCTATCCTCCGCTATGGTCCCTTCCTCCTGTGACCCCAACACCTCCTGGAAGTGACGCGTATGCAACACAATGGTGTTTCATCACAGTAGAAGGGACACAATCATGATATGACGGTAGATTTTTCGCTTCCCTTCCTCATCCTCCCTTCCTCTCTCCACTGCCCTCCAGCTGCCACTGCAGCACCATGTGGAATGAACGGAAGTGTGCTAAGCAGGTGTTTATATAGCCCTAAGAGTGTTATCACAACTATCCTGCTACAAAACATTGATATCTCAAATCCTGTAAGCTACCCGATTTGTTAGCGGTTTGTTTATCCCATGAGCTTCCTTCTCACTCACTTCATTTTGCGGACGGACACACATACATACATACATACATACATACATACATACATACATACATACATACATACATACATACATACATACATACATACATACATACATACATAGACATACAAACCGACACACAAAGTTAGCGCTTTATAAAATAGAAGGTATTGTACTAGAGATGTCTTATTTACAAGTGTAGGGTTGGAGTGAGACTCCCCCCCGGGGACCCGCTGGGGACATTGTTGGTGGATGACTGGAAGTGATAACAACCGATAAAGGCTGATAAAACGCGTTAGAACGCAAAAGTCGTCGATTCCATTACCCAGCTCGCGTTGACACCAGAGCAACCACACTTACAAGTGTTGGGTGGAGTGGGACGGGGACATTGTTGGTGGGTGATACAAAGGAATTGCAACTGATAAGGGCTGATAAGGGGCGTCAGAACGCAAAAGTCGTCCCAGCTTGCGCTGACATAGAGCGTCCCCACTCACAAGTTCTATTTGTAGTGGTGTACTTGCACACCATATCATTGTGTGACCAGCTTACTTAAAGGCAAAAGTCGGGCTCAATAAGGGGGTATTATGGCGATTGAAACTGAGTATAGAGATGCGAAGTGGAACGACAGTGGAGAAAAAACTGAGAAAAACCGTCGACAAGGCCGTTAACAAAACCCTCTTTCCCACTAGCAGTGAAGGAGGCTGGCTTGGGAAAGAGGCACGTACAAACAAGTTTTCTGGAGATGTCAGTCGTTCTATCGGTTGATACGGCAATCAACCTAGCTGATTTCACACGTTATGCCAGCCACGCACCACTTCCGGAGGTGGGCGGTCGGAGCGCCGGCCAGGCGGCGAAAGCGCTTAATACGTGCCCTTTATTACGGCGCCGTTTGGGATTCTGAGCATGGTAACGTCTCTGTGGGTGCGTAGCCATGCACAAAGACGACAAAAGGGATTGGTTTGGTCCACTAAGCCTGACTCGTGCCTTTAATAGCAGTCGATTGCATAAACTTAATCAAGTCTTCAGCAAATGATAAGTTTCATTTCTATCAAGAAAGCCCAAACTCATTAAACCGCTAATCCTTTCGGGGTTCTAAATAATGGTGAATGTAAATAAATGATAAGCCTTAGCTCCTCACTTATGTAAATAGGCATATTTCATTTTCATTTTGAGACTGACAGCAATCCTATTCACCGCTAAATTATCTGAATTCAAGAAGAATGCTGGATGTTTACAGTTGTGAGATAATACCAGTTCAGCTCCAGACGTTATCACGCGTATTCTCGATGGACTTCAGCGAAACTGGGAAAGGTCTAACACATTCAATAGTGAGGTGGTTAATGGAGTACCTCATGCTGATATTCCATGGGTCCTCCAGTTTCGCTAAAGCCTGCCGTGTGATGCGCGCGATAGCGGGCGAAGCAAAACTGGTTGAGTAATATATGGTTTTACAATGGATTCATTCCAGAGAGAAGCACTATCTTTGTAGGAAAGGCCACTTGAATTTTACAGTCCGGAATACGAGATCGAAGCTCTTTTTAAGTAGTTATATCCATAAGTAAGCAAAACAAAATTTTCTTGCGCTGTCGGAGTCGAGCAAGCATTAAGATAATGGCACTTTACGAAAAATCTTCTTACAACGAGACAGGCCCTTCTTGAGGACTTCGAATGGCTTTTGGAACGTCCCGTCCCACGAAATCCAGAAGAAAACTTCCCTGGTCTTCTTCCCAGTCGAATGAAAGTCCAAGTAGAGCTCAGCACCGATCAGGACCTGGAGAATAATACGCAAATGTCCCAGCAAAAACCATTCTTGAGCTCTAAGAGCAGGATGACCCAAATGTCATCAGCAAGTCGACGGTTGACCTGTACTGAAGGCGAGATATAGGTGGTGCCCACCGACAAGTCGAGTTTCTGCCTTTCTGAAATTGATGTTGTGAACTCTGGGGAATAGCCTTTAACAGAGATTCTCATTTGAGGCATCATATCTCAGCAGAGAGAAATAGCCTGAAGAATATGATGTCGTTTTTCGATAGTTAAAACAAGCCAAAAAATACGGGTTTTCCATCTCGGCATTGATCTGACGCTGGCTACGTCGTCACTGCGCTTTCCTGAACAAGAAAAGCTGTTATGAAGAGACCATTTAAGCTCTAAACTCTAACTGAATTCTGCACTTCAGAGCAGAGCTGTCATGTTGAAAAATCCACATTCCAGCAAAGAATTCCACCACTTAATTTGGCTTAGTTCACAAAGTGTAATCTTTATTTTAAGAGACCTAAAATGATGTTTTAATCCGATCGGTATCGGTAAAAACGACGCTAGCATAGAATATCATGGTTACTCAGCAGGCTATGCTCCACAGCTCGAAGCCAAACTAGGCCTGTCTATGGGTTTGACGTGGCAGCCGCCGCACTTGATAGAAGTTGCGCGGATAAGCTGCTTCCAGCATGCTTTGCTGATATCCAACGGAGTATGTTAGAAACAGCCTATCCACACGGCTTCTATCAAGTGCGGCAACGGCCACGTCAAATCCATAGACACGCCTAATCGGAATTAGAGATATGGACTGTGCTAGTTTTTCATACATACAGATTCGAAAGCTATTTTGCTGAACTTGTATTGGCGTTGAGAGTTTCCAAATTTTTTGGCGCGCCGTTTCTCATAAAAACCATATTTTTCAAATGCGATTCGACTTTGAAAAATGGTGTTGAGCTACAGTTGATTTTGTGTGTAATATGTAGTTCGGGAAAATTTTGTTGTCTATTTGCTGCGCTAGGTGAAAAACAACAATGCTTCCAAACTTATGATGACTGCTACTGTATGCTCGTACTCCGACAAGACTGAAACCTTCTATTTACTCCTAATTCACAGCAAGATCAGCCAGCATGACAGCACACTAACGAAACACTCCATACTGCGTAAACTACAAACACAACACATGACCTATTATCATAGACGAAGCAACAACAACAACACCACACACACCACCCCACCCCACACAACCCCCCCCCAACAACATGCCCATAGAGGTAATTCGATATGCTGATCACGAAAACGACATTCTGATTACGAACGACATTCATTTTAGCGGTGGCGCCATCTGGCGCCAGTTGGCGTCACCTTGTCACGACCCTTGTTTTCACCAAAATCGGTGTAAACTTCTGTATAGGGGTTATTTGGTGCCCTGATTACGAATATGACATTCGTTTTTGGCATTAACGTTGTTCAACGCATATTTCTCGGTTGGAGAGCGCAGACGAGCAGAAAATAGGCGCCAAATAGCGCCAGCGCCGAGAATGAATGTCATATTCGTAATCAGGACACCAAATAACCCTATACGGAAGTTTACACCAAATTTGGTGAAAACAGGTGTCGTGACAAGGTGACGCCAACTGGCGCCAGATGGCGCCACCGCTAAAATGAAAGTCATTTTCGTAATCAGGGCATCGAATTACCCCATAGGCAATTTACGGTAGTTTCTAAGGTGTACGAAATTACGATGCACGATCGGAGATGTTACTCCTAAAAAGTATAGTGGGCGGAGGCTGACAAAATAATTGTCGTTGAGACAGACAACCAAGGACAAACCCAACAATCATTTCGACTTTTGATCCAGAATTTTGAAAAGACATCTACAATCTTGGAGAAGAATAACGACATAACAGTTGCTTACTTGTGTCTCTTTGTGTTTCTCAAAGTCGTCGCGTTAGCCTGGATAGGTCCGCCCGTTATGGACATGCGCGTAGTGCTCCTGAACACCACCACCCACGTCCTGCAAGTTACCGGAAAAGTGCAAAGGCTACAACTAAGGATGCCACAAGAGTTCGGCGAGGCTGCTTCGACGACACATCAGAAAACTGGCAAATAATCCTGTGCAAGGCTTTTAGTTTCGACTGGCTTGACAAGGTGCTACCGGATTTAATAGTGTCACTTTATTCGAGGGCCACGGCTGCAACTAGGTATTAGTGAATACAGCCGTCAAACGAGCTTCAAAAATAAGATTCGAC